AAATTCAAAATTTTAAATTCTCAAATTGCCTCGGATCCGCAAGAAAATTTTGTTTCTAGCAGCGATTTGACTGGAAATTCTCTCAAGCAGCCGGGTAAAGGCAAGAAGCAAACTACCTCAAATACTTCCAAAAAATCTGCAAAGGGTAAGCAGAGCAAAAAATCCCAAACGCCCTCTACTTCCTAATGTTTCCTCCTCCCATTGGTGTGTGGAATGTTTGGGGTTTCAACCGTCCTGAAAAAGTCCGTAGCTGTAAACGACTCATCAAGTCTTTTAAGCTTGACATGCTATGTCTGTTGGAAACACGGGTGCATGTTCCTTCTCTCTATGATCCATTTTTCGACTTCTCGCACTCTCTTTTCACGAATGAAGAAAGTCAGCATAATTTTAATCTCTCATCCTCGGGTAGGATTTGGGTTAAATGGAATGCTAGCAAGCTTAATTTTGTTCCCTCTATGGTGACTCTGCAAATGATTAATGGTATGGTGATGGTTGGTAATCATTCCCCTTTTCAGATTACCTTTGTTTATGCCTCTAATAATGCTACTGAAAGGAAAGACCTTTGGAACTTTATCAACTTGGTTGCCCCATCTATTGGTTTCCCGTGGGCTGTTGCTGGAGACTTTAACTGCTGCCGTTATGCTAGTGAAAAGTCTGGTGGTTCTGTGATTCATCACTCCAATTTGGTTGATATTAACTCCATGATTTTTGACAATAGTCTGCTGGATCTACATTCTGTGGGTAGTTTCTTTATGTGGTTTAATCAACAATCAGATAATCCTATTCTTATCAAGTTGGATAGGGCTCTTGTTAATGAGGATTGGGTGAAGAATTTCCCTAATGCTTACTGCTCCTATCAGAGTCCGTCCTGCTCAGACCACTCTCCTATTATTCTTCACCCGGATTTGAATTCCCTTTCTCATCACAGATTTCTTTTTAAGAATTTATGGACTAGATATGACAGTTATTGGGTGCATCTTTTAAATGCTTTCTCTATGCCTATTATTGGGAACCCTTTATCCCATCTCTGTAATATTCTCACACAATTAAAAGGAGATATCAAAAAGCAACATTGGGCTAACTCTCAATCCATCAATCTGCAACTTGATGCTCTTCATGCCAAGCAACTGGATCTCTAGCTCTTTTTCAAAATAATCCTATGGATACCTCCCTAGGTCTTTCTCTTAAAGATATCAACTCAAAAATTTCTGCTGCTTACTCTTTGCAAGCTAACTGGGTTATTCAAAGAGCTAAGTTAAAATGGCTTCTATATGGTGAGGATGATCTTAAATTTCTTTATGCTAAAATCAAGAGTCAGAAGAGTACCTCTAAATCTGTGGTTAATTTATTTGCTTGCAATCCTAATATTGCTAGAGAGGAGGTGCTTCAATCTATTATTAAGTACTTTCAGGATTTGTTTAATCCTCTCCCTTCCATTTTCTCTAATTTGGATAATTTTCCTATTGGTACTGCTGTTACATACTTTTATGCTAATCTTCTTATTTCTCCTATTTTGGATGAATAAATTAAAATTGTTGTCTTTAAGGGATCCTCTAATTCTTCTCCTGGGCCAGATGGTTTCAACTATCACTTTTACAAATCTAGTTGGCACATCATTGGTCCTCATGTTTGCAATGCCATCAGATTCTTCTTCCATAAGGGTTACATTCCAAGTGGGGTAAAAGCTACTGCTCTAGCTATTATTCCCAAGCACATAAATGCTACATCTATTACTGATTATAGGCCTACTTCCATGTGTAATACTCTTTACAAAATCATTGCTAAGGTTATTGCTCATATGCTCAATCCGATTATGCCATTTATTGTGAAAGACACACAAGCGGGTTTTGTGAAATCCAGAGTTTCCATGGATAGCATTCTTCTTGCTAATGACATCCTCTCTTTGGTTAATAAGAGAGGAGCCGGTAACCTCTTTTGTGCTAAAATTGACATCAAAAAAGCTTTTGATTCTGTCTCAAGGGAATTTTTACTTGCTCGTATGCTTCAAAAAGGCTTCCCTAAGCCTTTCATCAGCTGGGTTAAAGCTTGTATTTCTAATGTGAATTTTTATGTTGTCATTGATGGTGCTTTGGAAGGATTCTTCCCCTCTTTTGCCGGGCTGAGGCAAGGTTGCCCTCTTAGCCCATACCTTTTCTGGATTGTTATGGATGCCTTCTCTAATCTTCTTGATTCAAGTGATTTTAAAGGTTTTAATGCTGACAACTTTCATCTCTCACACCTCTTATATGCTGATGATGTTTTAATTTTTGGAGAGGCGACTGTAGACAACTGTAACATTCTTGCAACTTCCCTTAAAGAGTTTGCTGCTGCTTCTGGCTTACATATTAACTTTGATAAATGTTCTGTTATGTTCACCAAAAATCAAAGAAATAGGGAAAATTTGTGTCAATCTCTCTCTATTTTCAACATTACCACCAAGATCTCTTATCTTGGTATTCCTATCTCTTTCAATAGATTGAAAGTAGAAGACTTCCTACCTTTGATGGATAGTCTACACAAAAAATTTACAGGTTGGAAGGCCAACCTTTTGTCTTTTGCTGGACGTTTGCAGTACTTAAAGTTCACAATTCAAAATAATATTGCATACTGGATTAGGGGTTCCATTTTGCCTAAGACTGTGTTTAAGTTTTTTAAGAAGATTTGCTCCCATTTTTTGTTCTTTGGTGACATAGCATGTAACCACAAATTACATATGGTGTCCTGGGAAACTATTTGAAAGCCAAAAATTAAAAGAGGTCTGGGTATTCCATCTTTAAGCGCTCTTCAATTCGCTTTTAATTGTTCAGTGATTTTCAGAATATATAACTGTCCCCTCTCCTTTATCTTCTTGGTTATCTGCTCATTATTCTTCTCCCTGGAGACCACCTCGTCCCAAAGATAGCAAGTTTTGGCTCTCTGTTTGTAACACAGCTGCTATTGTGAAGTCCAAATTTTAAGTTTTTAATTACGCCTTATGCTCCTATCTCTTTTCTTTGGGATCATTGGTGTAATAATACTACTATGTCTGAGTATGTGGCTGGTGTTTCTCTAGATAGCCTCCCTCTCCCTCTGCTTAAAAATTATATTTCATTTGGAAATTGGCTATTTTCTGATGATGTCCTGCTGGTTTTGAGAGCTGTAGTTTCTAGTTTTACGATTGTTGACACTGCTGGTCCTTGTCTTAATTGGAATGGTTGTGACAAGGTTAAATTTCGAGACTTAATAGAGGAATTTTACAACAATATGCCGGCTTGTCCTTGGTACAAGCTCGTTTGGCACAATAAGAATATTTTGAAACATTCTATTTATGTTTGGCTTTCTCTTGTTGGTGGATTAAAACACAAGATGCTTTGAGAACCAGAAACATTTTTGTGCTAACGGTTTGTTCGTTATGTCATTATGCACCTGAAACTGTCAGTCACCTCTTCTTTGAGTGCTCTTACTCATTCTTACTGCTTAATTCTCTTATCCCTGGCACTAGAACATTTCTATTTAGGCCTACTATTCTCCAACTTCTTCAATGGCTGGAGACTGAATTTTCTGGTTCTCTAATGACTAAGAATTTTTATATGCTGATGGTTTGCTGTATTATTTATCATCTTTGGAGGGAAAGAAATAGTAGAAGATTTGGGAACGAAATTCATAGCTCTTCCTCTTTGCTGTTTACTGTTAAAGGGATTGTTACTGGGAAGGTTGCAAGATAGAAAAATTCTGAAGTCATTCTTGATAAAATCTGATGGATGGAAGATCTTATCAGTTTTGGCTGAAAACTGGCGGGTTTGGTTGTTAACCAGGACAATGATGAAGCTCCAAACTAATGTCCTAGATTTCTATTCCCCTTGGACAGCCTTCGGGCAACCAGGGGTATTTACCTATTCCATATTTTCCGAGTTCTGGTTATTTCACTCTGGAGCTTTTTTTGCGAATCCTGTTTCTATTCTCTGCAGCATTTTTGGCTATGCTTCTCTGTCTACAGGTGCTCTTGCATCCTTTTGCTCTTTGAAGCGGCTGTGGTGATCGTGCTCCAATTAATTTATTGCATTGAAGCTGACTTTTCATATTATGGGAACCCAAGGATTCTTTTGAGCTAGTGCTCGTTTTTCTGCTTAGCTGCAGTTTTTTGTTTCGGTTGATGTTCTTTACGCATCAATTTTGTGTAATCTTTTGTTTGTTTGGGTGGTATAGTTAGGGTTTTTTCTTACATTTGACCTACATAAGTTTTTGTCTTTGCTTATGTTAGGTTATCTTTACATGTAATCACCTTTACTTGTAACCTCTTGATTTTTAATACATGGGCTTTGGCCCCAAAAAAAAAAAAACTTTTAAAAATTATTATATTCTCAAACTATTTAATTTTGTTCTTTTTTTCCTATTAAAAACTTGTTTTAGACTTTTGTAAGTGGCATAATCCTCTTCAGGTTGTAGTGAGAGGTTGGAAATTAAAGACTTCTACTTTAATTCAAAACAAATTGTAATCAGTCAATTTTAAATTGAGCTTCAAGCTGATTTTGAGTAAAGCCTAACAGTTTTTTAAATTTTTTTAATCATTAAAAAATTATCATGCATATCGAATTATAAATATTTTTTATATAAATATATTATCAACTTTATTAAATATAAATATATATATCTCTAAGATTCAAGGTTCATTTAGGACAACTTTTTTACTGCTTTATATTATAATTGCCTTTTTTTAATATAAATTTTTTATCAAAAAAACTGCTTTAGAAGACAATAAAAAGCTATCCCGAATAAATTCTAAATTTCTCTGATTTTTAATTGATACTATTCATATAAGAGCTAACCACTTCATGTCAACTTGCAGTTTATTTGAAACAATTTATAGAAATTAAAGCTTATTACATTAAAAATCTATTATAAAGTTAGAATCTGCCTCTTTAAATGTCAATTGACAAGAAATGAATCTGAGTTACAAAATTAGAATTCTAAGGAATTAAAGAATCAAAGAATGAACCCTTAAATTTAGTAGGGGAAGGCAATCAATCTCCTCTTATCATGAGAGACTGATGAGGCACTCTTTTGATCTCCACAAAGGAAGAATATTCTGAACTCAATCTTTGTTTCCAGGGCTCTCCATCCATTTGCATGTATGCATGATTCCACTGCCCACCTCTTATTTCTAATCTGATTGCTGCAGCCTGTAAGATTGCATAAAATGATCAAATCATACTTACAATATCGAGAAATTGCATAAATGTTCATAAGAAAATAACAACACAACAGTTCATGAAGGAAATGAAACAAATTCTGCGAAAACTAAGGCTTCATTTGGGACGGCTTTCTTCCTGCTTCTTAAAGCGGCTTTTTAGTACAAAAAAATTAATTTTTTAACTATAAAGCTGCTTTAAGAAGCAGGAAAAAAGCCGTCCCAAACGAAACCTACCAAAATTAGATCATATTGCTATGAATAGTTCAGATAAGGAAAACAAAAGGCAATAAAATAAGAAGACATTTTTGAGATTTAGCTGAAACAACAAGCTAAAACTAGCAATCAATTTCAATAAGGCTTCGTTTAGGACGGAA